CATTTCGATCATGGATTACAAAAAATTCGATCATGGATTACAAAAAATTCTATCATGGGTTACAAAAAAAAAAAGAACAAAAAATTCGATCATGGATTACAAAAAAATCGATCAAGTATTACACAACATTCGATCACGGATTACAAACAAAAAAAAAAAAAATTCCGTTCTTCACAGAGCCATTTTACATAAGCGATTTTAACTCAAAAATCCACCTCTAAGTGAATAAATTACATTTAATTGAGTATATTTTCTGATAAACAACAATATAAGGAATCAAAACCCTAAATTTTTAACACATTATTTCTAATATATCATCAAAACAAAATCAAAAGGCGGAAAAAACAAAAAAAAAAACAGCGGAATTTTGGTTCCGCAGACATCTCAGTTTTCATCTCAAATTTCATGCTGTAATTGACCAGATTACGTAAAATTGAAAATTTTAAATCATACTAGACACCATAAAGATTAAAAACCCTAATTATTGAACTCATTATGTTCAAAATATGCCGTGAAATAAATCAAATGGCGGAAAAAAAAAAAAAAACCCAAACTTCTTACCTGATTTTGTGAACCGAAGCCTTCAATCTCCAAAAAACTCTGTTTTTCTCAACGATTATCACAAATTAGTAACAAAAGGTTTCGATTCACAGCTTTACGATCAAAATGCCTACAAATTTTGAAAGATTCATGCTCTATTTGGCATGAAACTTTCAGAAAAGGCGGAAACCCTAAAAAAGCAAGTTTCGTGATCCAAAAACACCAAATTTTTCAACCACTTAATCCTTGAAAAAGCTGAATAAAGCTGTTTACAGCTTGCAAATTAGATCACATGGAAAAAAAAACAAGAAAAATGATCAAAAAATGACAAATTTCAAAGAATCCCTTGAAGAACATTGTGCAACCCGTGTTCTTCACGGACTCGTCGATTCTGCACAGTGACTCGACGAGTCACTGTGCAGTCTGGTTCTCTCTAGAACAGGACGATTTCTGATTTTTTAGACGATACGATCCACTTTTTACGATTTTCGAGTCGAATCGTGCGAGTCCGGTTCGACTCGGCGATTTTTAAAACACTGGGTTGTTCTGATGCCCCAAATTCCTCCAAATTGATCAAGTTGGGACATTAATCTTGACCATTGAATGTGAAATTGGGTGGCTGTAATTATTTTATTTACCAAGCTCAAACTTCAAAATAAAAATTTTTGAACTTTATGACACATCCATGTTGTTAAAGTTCACATCAGATAGTTATAAGTAATTGTGACCACCTTGTATCAAAGGTAAATGATCTTATTGTATACAATCTCTTAAAATATTGCAACATTTGTTTTAAAATATTGCAATAATTTCATTGTTAGCCTGATATTATCATAGTTATTACCGACAACAAATTTTATTTCTTTCAATTATTGTCAAGCTTCACCTCAAACCGATACACCCTAAGACCAAAAATAATATATTAGTCAAAAAAATGGTGAAGTTTTACTAGAAGTGATATTATTCAAGACAACAAAGACATGCAGCAATGCGCAAAGAATAGAAGAAAGTGTCCAATAAAAAACTCTTCTCTTTTTTTTTTCTTTCTATTTATTTTTTTGACGCGACATAATGTTGGGGAGTTGATGTAAAAATCACATCCTAATGACTTATGAC